ATTTTGCATTTACATTCACTCATCCCTCTTTGGATGTAACTATCGCTCAGAATTGTGTATTGATACTCACTACTGTCCTTTCCCCCCTAGTTTTAATAACCATTCGTATGCCTAAAAGCATACACATATTATTTACTCTGTTTCTGAGTAATCTTTGGAGAAAGAATAAGATATTGTACTGGACACTTTTTTTTTTTTTCAGTGCTGGTTTTCAAACCCAGGGCTGCATGCATGCTAAGTACATKCTGGACTATTGAGCTACTCCTCGTCCCTTAACAGATGTTTAATGGTGCCTTCTCTGTCCAAGCACAAGTTCTAGGGGCTGGAGAATAAAAGCAGTGAATGACAAAGAAGTAAAAAATTTTCACCCTCGTGGACAAATGATAAACAAATAAACAAGCAGGCTATTCAATAGTGATAAGCACTGTGGATAAAAATAGGGCAGGGAAAGTGGGGGGGGTGGGAGCTCATGCTGCAGTAACCACGATGTGAGGCAAGAGCCCAGGCTCCATGAGTAAATTTGATATGATAAGACTTGAGGATGGTCTCAAGGAGATGATTTGAGCCCGACCTTGAATGTTTCTTCAGCTTAAAAAAAATATTTTAGATCCCTATTTAGGAATTAAAATATAATTCACCTTTTTAGGTCCAGCTAATTATATTCTCATAGGGTAATGTTTTTTTTTTTTTTATCAACCTTATGCTGTTTAAAGCCTTGCAAAAATAGTTAGGGTCGTTCACTTGGAAAAATCGGAAATCTTAGGGCTGTTCACAGCTTCGGAGATGAATCAGTGAAAAATCCTCTATTTGGTAGATGACAAAAATGAGATCTGAAGCAATCGATTAATTAGATATATTTACATGCCTATTGCATATATCATATATGTTAGATGTTATGGAAAAGGAATGCTTCTAGGTTAAATTATTTGTTCTAGGTTATAAAACTAACTAAAGGTGAAGGTAATTCCAGAGCCTGGGCTTCTTTTAGCTCATGGTCGAAGTTTTTCAATAGTGTATATTTTGTTAAAAATTGGAGATCAACAATCACGGTCTAACTGCCTCAATTCACAAGAGAAAACTCAGTTGCAGAGCAAGGATCTAGCGTAAAGTAGGACTCGGTTGACCTTTTAAATTACCTGAGGCTTTGAGAATAGGGAAAGGACAGAGCAGGTGATGCCAGATCTGCTGAGAAGTTCCTTGCTTTCTTTAGAAGGGCAAACCCACCCACTATGGGCACTGGAGGCCTGACTCTGGCATTGTTGGGGTAGAAGAACACAGAGCCACCATGCCCCCGGCTATTCGGCTGAGTTATCCCCTGCAGCTCTCCTGCTTGCTTTGCCTGTTCCTTGGCTTCTCTTCTTGAGCCCAGTTTCCATTTCTGGAGCCCCTGCTGCCTGAGCACCAGCTGCCCGCTGAGCTTATCGTCCTCCTTGACAGAAAGCCAAAAGCTCCTGTGGTTGTCCTCACTCCATATGCTGGTTCTGCCCCACAGGGCCCATGGCTCCTCCTCCTGGTACCCCTTTCCTGTTCTGAGCCTTCTTGCCGAATATACAAGTTTTGCAATTCCAGGGAATGTTCAATATTACAAGTTTTGCCATTCTAGGGAATGTTCGGAGACCCAGAATCTTAAGAGGTTTATGGAATATAGGATAAGACAACAGAGAGTATCAAAGACCGCTTAGATGGCAGGTAGGGTTTCCAAAAGGGATACTGAATGCCCAGTGAGATTTGGATTTCAGTTTAAGTATGTCTCAAATATTGCTACATAACTAAGTATTTGTCTCCAATTCAATCCAGACTGGGCATTCTGTATTTTTACTTGCTAATTTTGACAATCCTGCATTTCTAGGGGATAGGACAAGAGAATAGGAGGTGGCAGAATTTGTCTTTGGGCACAAGGAAGACAAGAGGAAAAGAAACATCTATCAATGAATCTCTATTTTTGATCGGTGTGGTGTGTGTATGTGTATATACATGCCCTTACGTTTCATAGGACACAAGGACTGATATTAAAGAAAACCGTTCACAGTCATACTGATTACAGACTTTGAATAAATGATGGCCAGTGAGAAGATTAAAACATGCAAAATGTGGTCAGTTTAAAAGCAAATCTAATTTTTACATTTAGGTAAACCGCCTATTATTTTTGCCTAGCTGCAATACAACCCAATCACAATTTCACTTTTTCCCAGACTGTCTTTATATATCTTCCGAGAACTCTACAATGATCCCAGAGGGGTCTGAGAAATCACCTATTTAACTTGGACATCTGCGGGTTAAGTAACCACAACCCAGAGAGAGAAAGTCATCAATAGAGGATCTCACAGCCTCTTAATATTAACAACAAAATACTATTTTATGAGGGCTTACTAAGCACTGAGCATGGTTCTAAGYGACCTATTTGCATTATCCCATTTAATTTGCACAACCACATAATCATCCTCATTATTCAGATGACGCAAGTTAAAGCATAGAAAATTATGCAATTTACCCAGAGTTCAAGGTCATACGGCTAGTAGCTGAGGCGACTGCCAAAACCCCCGCTAGTCTGGCCCAAGATTCACACACTCAACCATGACACCCTCGCAATTAAGACGAGTTTGTATCACTAAACTTGATTGCAAATGTAAAACTTTCCGAGTTCACTGAGCCTGTGGTATGATTTTATACTAAATCACAAGGTCACTAGAATGTAATTTTTGGGAAGTTGATAGGATGCTGTTGCCATCCCTATCAATTTCAAAATGAAAGAAATTATCTGCTGACTTATGAACAAGCCCTTATCACAGGGAGTCCATGGTTATAATCAGAAATCAATTTCACTGCACTTGGTTTTGAAACATTTTTTTCTAAAATACGTAATACCATAGAGCTACCATCGAAGCAAATATTTGTAGTATTGATAGAAACTTTTATGAATTTACAGTTTGAATTGCTCGAGAAAGAAAAGCAGGAGGAGGAAGTCAGAAGGAGAAATCAAAATGAAGAGGAGTCCCCTTATTTACTATTAGCCACTAAGTGAGCAAGTTCTTTTAGACAACAGGACTTCTTATTAGCGATCTCAGCAGCTATACAGCTATTGTTCTAACTATATCCAGAAAGAACSGTCATCCTCATCTTCAGTGTTATATTTTCTAAGTCTCACATGCTGCTCGTTTTTTCTTTTCTCTCTTTCAAGAGTGTCAGCACTTGTGACTAGATGACCCAGCCCCTTTGCCCATTTCCAGACGCCAGTCTCCCTGTTTATCAAAGATGGAGGATTAAGCTCAGCCGCTTCTGCTTCTACATCATGTTTTCCAAGAATTACCCTTCCTTATGACACAAAGGCCTGTACAAACTTAAAAAAAAAAAAGTGAGGCTGAAATTCTCTGAAGCTCCAAGATCAGGGTCTATGGGATTGACCTGGGATATCCCAAGACTTCACAAATCCACTGCCATGGGAATTGGGGGCAGTGCAAATTTAGTCTTTCCTCTCTTCTGCACTTCAGCTGAAAGAAGAACTCCTTTGGGAGTTCTGTTTTGCATGTCTACTATCAAGAACATCAYCAAATCCTTTTAGAGAGAAACCAGCCCTCCCCCCCTCTCCTGCCTTAAACCAGCACAGGAGTGTTTGAAATGAACGCAGCTTCGTACAAAACAAATCTATATCCTCTCTTCTTCAGAAAGGTGGCAGTGTTGCCTTGCAGTTTTGAACAAATTACTAAGCAGTAGTGAGGTCTCTGGCTGATTGACAAACCCAGGGCCTCACCTCAACATGGAAAGGAAAGGAAGGATTTAATCCACTGTTGGCCCTTTGTGACTGGTGGCTGGCAGACTAGCCCTGGGGCTTCAGGGGCACTGTGGCTTGTGGCCACCCAAGCTCTCGAATTTACAACCTGCTTCAATTATGTCCATCCTCAGATAACCTCCAGCGGAACCCACAGATGTCTAAAAACAGGGAGCAGCGAGGGAAGTTACTGATGGAATAATTCTTACCTCCCAGCATTCACTTTTCTTATTTTTGAGCCATCCATCCCCAATGAAACAATTAACTGGCCCTCTTCAGAGGGACAAGGGAAATGTCGCTTAGCAAATGATGCAGCATCTTGCTGACACCTGTCACATCCAATGTTCACATCAGAACTCTCAGAAAAGCAATCCATCTTCGAAGTAGGTGTTTTGCGTGGCTTGTTACCACTATTATAAAACCAATAATATACACAGAGCTACTGAAGAGCTTAAACGGCCAAGTGTTGTCCCGTCTAAATGCGGGAACCCACACAATGGTATCTTCAGTGGACACCTGCACCAACCCTTCATAAAGAGCAAATAGAGTTCCCATCTCTCCCTTCGACTCACCTGTCTTCAGAGTCCTTTGAGAAGTTTCTCTGTACACCACTAACACAGAAATTTTGGGGAAAATTCTCCATTTATAAATATCAGATGGTTTGGGAAAAAATATTTGTGGCACTGGACTTTTTTTTTTTTTCCCTACAGTGATGTCATTTTAAATTCTTGGTGTGCTCCAAATTTGCTATTTTTACTTCCCCCAAGTGACTTTTTTTGGGAAATACATTTGTTTGGATAAGCTACATTTTTAAGTGACCCCTGTACCTAATACACAACATCAGGTTCATCTTCTCAGCCATTATTAACTGATATTACGCAGTTCCCAAACTTGAAATCCCTAATTTGTTCATTTCAAAGTTGCTCCTTTTGGATTTTACCCCTCTGAAATTTCTATTCACAGATATACAGACAAAATAATAAGAAAATAATAAGAGGATTGGCCTATTCACAAACAAAACCCACGCTCAACAACTCAAAGCATTTGAAACTTARAAGACATTCAAGGCCCCCAAAGTCAAGTAAAATTCTTTGCTTCCAAAATGTGCTGGGGTGGGGGGGACACAGAGTTGTCACCACGATAGGCTTTAGGCATTTATTGGAAAGCAGTTCTAGAATTAAGAATTGCAGAAGAGGAAAAGTTTGAGAAGGAAGGCTAAGTGCCTTCGCCCTACCTGATCTGAACTTGCTTCTAATCAGCAAAGAATGCTCAGACCCCAGAAGTGTCATGTTGAATCTCTCAGCAAGCCGCTGGTCCCTGTGCCAGGCGCCCCCTGTTTTCCACCAGGAACAGGCTCCCGGGAGCCCAGCTGACCGCAGCTAACAACTCAGAATTCATCCAACTCTCTGTGAGCTCCCCTGGGTAGGAGTACGTACAGTGGCAGCCAGTGTCCCCAGGAAACTGGCGCCTCCCCCCTTCGCGGTGCGGGGCTAATTAACTCTTAGCCGGCAGGACCCTCCTCCTCCTCCTCCTCCTCTGAGGTTGGCCAAGAGCTGCGGCATCCCAGGGTTCCTGGCTGATGTCATAGGCTGCCAGCGATTGCGGAGTATCACCACCACGCCTTTATGAAGGTCCCAAGTTTGTTATCTGATACTCTTTACTACTGACAGGCGCTCAGCCAATCAGGAGCGATGAGCGGGGCCTGGGGACCTGGAGCCGCCAGGGGTGTCTCGGCTGCTGGGTCTTAACTCTTTGCAGTGGGCTGAGCGGCCGTCCTGACGCAGAGAGCAGGAGGCAGGGCCCGGGGTTCGTGAATCTCGGCCAGGGGACAGAGCTAAGGAGCTGAAGCCCCTAGGACAGAAGGAAGGGCTGCGACACCACGGGGCTTGCAGGTGGTGCGCAGTGCTGCTGCGCTAGGAGCTTCCCTGGCCCGGGGATGGCTGCCCCGCCTGGGCTTTCCCCGGGCTTCTCCGGTTTTCTGTCTGCGCGGAGGGACGCGCGGCTGGGATCTCCTGCCAGCCGCCTGTAAAGGCTGGGGGAAAGGATGTGAGCGCACACTGGGACAGTCACACTGGGCGCGTTGGAAATAAGCTGGACCCTTTCCTTGCAAAGAAGCATAGTTTGCAACGGACTTGAGTGCCTACTTTCTTCTCTGTTGGAGGGGCTCAGAGCGCAGGAAAAGACCGTCCATCATACAATTCGCTGCTCCAATATCAGATCTGGATACATTTCCACGGAGAAAATGAAACATTTCTATCTTTTTTTWAATGCTTTCTTTGGGGACATATCTAACTCACTGTGTCTGGAGATCCTATGGGGGACCCAATGCTCCCGACCCTTCTCAGGACGGGGGAAGATGTATGCCCTATTGGACTCAGCAGGGTGGACTCAAGGAGGGAGGGGCTCCGGCTGGGCTTAGTTTGGAAAGGCTCCAAGGCTTTTCCAGAGAGCGAGTCTCTCCGTTAGGTAAAAAAAAAAAAAAAAAAAAAAAAAAAAAAAAAAAAAAAAAAAAAAAAAAATCCATTGAGCATCAAACACGGAGTTATTGAGCATCTAGAATGGTCCAAGTGGTATATGCTCAGCAATAATAATACAAAGACCCTGCTCTCAAGAATCAGACTTAGTGGTGGCATACAGAAATAAAAACAGTGCGTTTTTTAAAAAATATATAATTAGGTTTACATTCATTTGCCACCTCATAAGCACGTGGTCCCCCAGGTATGACCTATTTACTTATTCCATACATGCTTACCTATGTCTCAGATCTCTGAATCCTTGAAAGACCAGTCAGTGATAGATGGAGACCTAATATGACACTAACTCATGAGGACAATCTCTTATTCCCTAAGTCTGGCCTTTGTCCTCTCCCACTTCTTTTGTTGAAGACACATTCARATGGTTAGACCTTTCGTTCACTCTTTGCATCTGACCAGGCCGTTGGTGTAAAAATAAGGTTTTCTGGAATAGGAAATTTTCTTCTGGATGTGTCAGAGAGGAGATGGAGTTATCCCACCCAAGTTCCTCCAGGGAAGAGCGTCCTGGGTGGTGCGGCCAATTCACAGGCTGACGAGGTGTGTGGAAGCATCCCAGTGATCATGCAACATTCTTACACGAAGTATGTGACTTTCCTATTTCTGTTGTAACGTTTCCATGAATTTAGTGGCTAAACGCAACACAAATTTATTGTCTTGCCGTTCTGCAGGTCAGACGTCGGAAATGGGTCTCACTGGGTTGAGATCAAGGTGTTGGCAGCTGCATTACTTCCTTGAGGCTCTAGGGGACAATCCATTTTCTTTTCCTTTCCAGCTTCTAGAGGCCACCCACATTCTTTGGCGGGTAGCCCTTTTTTTTTTTTTTTCCATCTTCAAAGCCAGTAATGTTGTGTCAAGTCCTGATCACATTTTAACATTTACTCCTGCCCCCAAATTCTGCACCCCTCCTCCACGTTAACTATACTATAAGGATAAATGCTATTGTAAGGTCAGCTGATTATCAACCTTCATTTCCTTCTACTACTTTAATTCTTCCTTTGCCATGTAATGTAGCCTAATCACAGATGCCTGGAATTAGGATATGTGAACATGGGGCAGGTACCTTCTTCTGTATGACACTTATTTTTTCTTCTCAGCATCTCCCTATCCTCAGTCAAACCCTGGCCTCCCGGTGTCCAATGAGAAGAGGTACAGCAGAGGGAGGTTTGGAAATGGAGGTGCCCAGAAGCCTAGGAGAAAGTTTTGAGAGGTGTGTCTTCCAGGGTGAGTACTCTGGAGAAAAGAGTTAAGTAAGATAAAGAATATTATAAAATTGTCTGGAGGACAGAAAACTATTTTGAGCAACATAAAAAAGAAAGAAAAGGGGGAAAAAAATCTAAACAGATTTTTATCCTGAATGCTTTGGGGGCCGAGTAGAGATAATGGCAACTTGGCAGAGAATTATTTTTTTCAGTGAAAGTTGGAATGAAGTTAGCTGAAGCCAACACTGAATGTAAGGGTCTACATGACCTAGAAGAGCTGAGGGGAGGAAGCTGTTTTCTCTCTGTTGGGCTGCACGGGACTGGGAGGGGGATTGGGGAGGGAGGGAGAGAATGAGCCTGTGGGCATATGTATGTCTGTGGAGGAGTGTAGTTTCTTTTCTCTCTTCTTATTTTTKGGGGGGAATGGGGGGGTGTTTGAGAAATACTGTAACCACAGTCCTCTTCAATTTTCCCATCAGAGTGTGGAGTTGCTGACATCTGTCCTCTGGGATTTTTTTTTTTTTCCCCAATAGCTTGGAATATCTATGGATATAAATATGCTCATATAGAAGCTCATCTTTTGCCCTCTTTAGTCAAGCATTTTTAAGATTATTTTTCAATTTTATTTTTTATTTTTTTTTTTGGTAGAATTTGGAAAGCATGTTCCCCAAGAGAACAGAGTTCTCAAACTGCTACACTTCGGGCACAGCACCTGCTAATGCATCCAGGCTCTGTCCTGCCATTGGACCACCTCGGGAGTATTTCTCCYAGGCCTTGCCATCGTGACCCTTCTCTTCTGGGGACTGGAGGGAGTCTTTGCTGTGGCACAGAGGACAGTCATGAGCCTCCAGTGTRTGGAGGATCTTCCTTTGAATCTGGGTGCCCTGTACTCGGGAGTGAGTTATCTAACACGTGGCTTTTTTTTTTAATCTATAGAATATTTCCCAGAAGGGTTGGGAGGTTTCAATGGCATCATCCAATTGGAATGCCCAGAATAATTCTTCCTGGTGTGTCGTAGGCCCTTCTCTTAATTTCCCTTTTCTCAATCATTCATGAAGATTCCAGGCCCCTTCCCCTTTGTTTGTGCCTTTTCCTTTTCTTCACTTTTAGTCATTTAAGGCTGCATAACAAATGACTGGCATTTCAGTCAAGGTACCACGTCCTTTACCCATAAAATGGTAAAGGAGCTGAAAAACTCCTATCACTTGATGATGCCATAGCCCTCATGAATTCAGGGGGAAACAGAAAGAAAACGACTGTGCTGCTGCCAGTTGTGTAAAAACAAAGCACTACAATGGTGCACAGGGTGTCAAGTTTGATAATGACAAGGGATTACACTACCAGGCTATTTACTATACTTTTATCGTTGTTTTAGTATGTCTTCCTTCTCCTTACAAGAAAAACATTTACCGGGAAGCAGAACTGCAGTATTATATACCAGCTGTCGTCTTGCACATCTCATGCTTAGTRTACCTTCGGTTTGCATTGAAAGGCCATACTGAATAATATCCCTACACCATCCAGGTTCCTTTAAGTTACCTGCTCCAATGTGTTCACAATGATAAAAATTGACTAATTACACATTCATCAGAGAGCCTAATCCCATTTTTAGGAGGTACATGAGTGTATCACATATTTAGCAGCTTAGAACAACACACACATTTGTCATCTCCCAGTGGGTGAGGTCGGGAGTCCAGCCATCGCTCATCTGGATTCTCTGCTCAGGGTCATCAAAGACGGTCATCAAAGTGCTGACTGGGGTTGGTGTGCCATGAGAGCTCAGCGTTGGCCTCTGAGCTCAGTGTGTTGGTAGAATTCAGTTCCTGAAAGCTCTAGAACTTACAGTGACTTGCCTGTCCAAGGCCAGCAGGAGAAAGGTCTTTCTCTTGGGAAAACCAAAGACCCCCTTTTAAACAGTAGACCCACCCATAATGATGTCTCCTTTTAAGATTAACTCAAAGTCATATTTATTAGGAAATTTAATATTATCTGCAAAACCCCTTCATCCTAGCCAAATAATGGAACCTGATCCGAATAGTGCCTTCTGTCCCATTCGCCTGCCCCATTCTGATGGGAAGGGGACTGATCCCCAGGGAATGTATAGCACATTGGGGGTGTATTCATTTAGAATTCTGACTTCCGTGGCTGTGGTCCTCAGCCTGCAATCGAAATGGGAGTGATTCTGTCTGTAGTCCAAAGCACAGCTCGGGGCAGGCGGGTTGAACTCTGACCCTTACAGACCGCCTTTCCTAAGCACAGCATGAAGTCAGCTGCTGGGTCACAGACAGGGCACAAGGGATGGCACACCTGTGATGGCCTGAGGACCTCCAGTTCCCTCCCTGGGGATGTCCTTTCTTAGCCCAGTCCTCTCATCCCACCTAAGGTGGCCACCGTTTGCAGGGATCTGATGGTCTTCCTATCCTTAGGGCCTATTCCTGGGATCATCTGTCTATTTTCTTCTGTTTCTTTCACGTGTTTGGTGGATAAGCAATCTCAGGGGAGCATTTTTCCCTCTGTCATCTGCTCACTGAAAATGTGATTTAGGGATCTGTGGAAGTCACTTGGGCAAGTGCCCTGAAGGCACAGAATGCAGGGGACAGGTTTGCAAACTCCAACAAGTTGTGTGGGCCAGGGATAAGAGAAAATGCAAGGGGTTGGCATGCAGCAATATGGATAGCAGATGGCTTGTCCAAATGGGACAGTCATGACCCAGCTCTGGGTAACCGTAGCTACACAGGAGGGAATACAGACCCTCGTTGCTGTAYACTCCAACTGTTCAAAGAAGAACTGGAAATCCAGATTGTAATGTTGAATAAAATTGATCTTGAAATGTGAACAACAACAAAATGTTTTAATATATA